ATGCAGTTTAGCGGCCTAGATTCAAATAAATGCAGTTTAATAAAAAACACTCTGATATTGGACCAACATGCTGAAAAGTGATCGTGTAACATACTAAAATTTTCCGTTTTCGCTGCAGAATTTAATGCGCTTATCAGGTGTTAATCCTCCATCATTTGAAATTCTACTCTGAACGAAAGCAGAGTAAAATCGAGTTCATCACTTTTTTTCAAAGGCGCCGACAAATTCTTACGTCACATGATGTTTTGATGAGAAGGGAACGGCCTAGAGTATCGAGAAAAGAAGAAAAAGACGTGAATTGTGCTCAGAAACATAATTATTAGGATAAATAGAAAATGAACAATGATTTGGAGTAAATCGAGGAGCAGCCAATTAGAGAAAAATAAATGCAGTTTAATAAAAAACACTCATTTTTTATAAGAAACCGTCTATAAAAGCCAGTACTCGAAAATGAGAAAAGGTTAAGAAACTCCAATACTCGAGCAAGAAACTGCAAAACTGATATAGATTGAGAATAAGCAAAGATCAAGAATTTCTTGTTTTTCTTTTGCTAATTTTGACTAAACTTACTTACACTACAAACTTAAAAAAAGAATAAAACTACACAGTGATTACGAAACCAAATTTAAAGTATCGAGGCTCTTGTTTTTTGAGAATAACACAGAAGTATTCTATAAAAACTTGAGCTCTAAAATTTTGTGAACCTTAAGGAACTGGGGTACTCCCTGTCGAGGATGGTTTCTTATAAAAAATGAGTGTATTTTATTAAACTGCATCTATTATTCTGTAATTGGCTGCTCTTCGATTTACTCCAAATCATTATTCATATTCGTTTTTTGCTAATAATTATGTTTCTGAGCACAATTCGCGTCTTTTTCTTCTTTTCTCGAAACTCTAGGCCGTTCCCTTCTCATCAAAACATCATGTGACGTAAGAATTTGTCGGCGCCTTTGAAAAAAAGTGATCAACTCAATTTTACTCTGCTTTCGTTCAGAGTAAAATTTCCAATGATAGAGGATTAACAGCAGATAAGCGCATTAAATTCTGCAGCAAAAATGGACAATTTTAGTATGTTACACGATCACTTTTCAGCATGTTGGTCCAATATCGAAAAAAGTGATGGTAAAATGTGATCGTGTAACCCGGCCTTAATGGTTTCAGAAAGTTGGTCCCTGCAAATCATCAAGTATTTGGCAAGAATTGCGCTCTTGTCTACCCACTGATCTAACCCAAAAGGTCTTTCGCAGGCCTTGGTCCGTAGATTCTGACTGTACTGGCAAGCCTTTCGACTTGAATCACGGAATGCGGATCATCGCAAATGAGATAAGTCGAAAAAGTTTTTCTTTTTCACAGTCACAAAAGTAAAAACTGGAAATAATTAGATTTAAAGTGATGTGTCATGCAAAGAATATTCACAAAAAGCAACTTATAGGCAGAAAAATATTTTGGATTATCAAATATTTGGGAATATAATAAGCTCCAGTTCAGAAAATGCTGACCTCTCAATGGTTTCACTCGAGCTGCAATGAAGCTGCATTGGAGCATCGCACATTTCTTCTTAAAGACTACCGAAGTGATGACGTCATAACAGTTATTTTCAGAATGTTTGAATTTTGATCCCAGAACCTGAGAGAGCATTATGAAATACCGCTGAATATGGCAAACCAGTCAAAGGAATTATGCATTGGCTGAGACATGACCACAAGAGCACAGGATCTTATCCCATCAAACCTCTGTTATTTGGTCTTGGTTCATAACTTTGTGAAGTAACCCAGAATAACAGTATCCGTTTCCGAACATGAGGGGTCATGTATTGCGGAAAATGTCATACATTGACTTTAACACTACAATGTATTTACTACAAATAGAAGCGTTGCAAAAATTTGGCTAAAAATTTGAGCCGCAAGCTCCAGTGTTTCTTCTAGATAGTGTGGTTCAAATGCAAAAATTTCAAAAGCATTTTTTTATTAGGATACATTACCAATGAAAGGGGTACTGTCTTTACTGATACATATACAAGCAAAAAAATTAAGCCAGAAAAAATGGACAATAGCAATTCTAAACCATTTGAGCCTTCCTTTACTTTTCATATCTTCTTAAAATTTCTTTACTTGTTCCTTTCTATTTCCTTCTTTTTCCTAGAAGTGCTTGAATTTTCTTCCGGTTAGAGAAATTCCTTCCAGGTGAAGGAATCAATGGTTACAAAGCATCCTTTTACTGGCAGGGAACACCCATGCTACCAATAGGGAACGCCCATGACTAAATTCTGGTTACGAGCTGGCATTTTAAAAATTATAGAATCACAACTTCACCAAAATATACTCCTTCCCCAATCAACGCCAAAAATTTAAATAAAAAAATCGAGATCTCTAAGCCATAAGCAAGAGCAGAGTATGCAATGAATGTTGGAGCTTTAATTGATAAAAACCTTTCATTGGCACCCCATATTAAGCAAAAAGGCTAAAAACGCAAAAGATTTTGGCATATTGGCAAAAATGCGGCATTACGTATCAAAACAGATGTTGAAAAAGTCAGTTAATGCTTTCATAAAGCCATATATAAACGATGGTTTAATCAATTCGGGAACTGCACCTAAAACTCCATGAACTCCTCTTAAAGGTAAAACTAAAACAAGCAGTGAGACTTATGAAATTCTCAGGATCTCATCACAGCAAACCTCTCTTTAACCGTAAGAATAGATTTTCAAAGCTGTTATAAAGAACAGTGTGCAAAATTTATGTACCAAGTAGAAAATTATGACGTAGTAGACACAATCAAGCCAATCAAATCTAAACATACAGTAAACACACGACAGGCTTCAGCTGGAAACTTTGCCCATCCAACTGCAAGAACTAATCAGATTTCATATCTGTAATGGGTGGGAATCAAAATTTGGAATGAGACAACGAGTGAAATAAGGCAAGTCGCAAAAAACATACTTTTGCTAAAAATTACAAACGCTGGCTAAAAAGCTTCTACCAATTTTTACTAGCTTAGAATTACAAACGTTTCAACTAACTATAGAAATTGCATAATCAATGACAATCGTTATAACATCTTGGTAAAGTAGCAGAACAGGTTTTTTTTCTTCTCCATTTTATTTCCCCCTTCCTTATATACGTATCATAATTGCAATTTACACGCTTGTTTATTTTTATGCTTTCCATTATTATGCTGTTGTTACACTTCTTAGTCTTCAATCCAGTTAATAAGCAATGCTTAGAAAAGCAGGCCCTTGGCTCGATAACCCTCCTTGGAGTTTTTCTAAGGGTCTTAAACAACGAGTAAAAATGATAAAGGAAGTTATGTTTTATTTTTTGTATTAGCAATTACCTTCATTGGTTAAGATTTAGAATTTGTAATGTAATCTCATCACGTAAATCTATTCAAAGTTCAACTTGTATTTTTTGTGTAGTTTGGTAATTAATGAAATTGAATTTGGAACGTTTGTTTTCCGATTATGACGAATTGTGAAATCGATCAAGTCAAGAACTATGGGGGTAGGGTATCTGCGCTCTTCTTCTTTCGTCTGGCTCCACAATTGGGGGAAGTGGTAGCCTTTATCAGGAGTTTCCTTAGCCTGCATGCAGACTCTGACCCCCAAAAAAGGAGTCTAACCTCCTTTATGAGAGTACGCAGGAAAGAGTTTCGTTTGCACGCTGGTTAGAGTTTCGTCTGCACCGCCAGGGCCAAATTCACGTCTGTTTGGGCTCTAGGCCCAAAGTTGATTGGGGCCCCTTAGATCTAAAAATAATCATAACCAACCAGGTTAACATCCACTAAATAGTTTGATAGATAAAAATTATAAGATGCGACTAAAAACTTGTGTCAATCTCGCATTTCAGTACATTCCCAATAAAACTGCCGTAAAAGCTCTATCAAGCCCGGGGGGCTTATTAATTTTTCAGTCCTAAAGGGGGGCTTAAAAGAGTATCCTTGTATATTATTTTGTTATAAAAATGTCATACAAATGTTCTAAAAAAACTTCGCTAGCAGCTTCGAAAGTCTAATTAATCAATTATAAGGTCCCTATCTTCATCAGAATCACCAGAATCAATTGATCACTCTGGGACATCTTTTAAACAAAATTTGACTGACTTTTTAGGCGCACAAGTAAGTCTTTACATGGGCCGTATTTAATGCGCACGATTTTACTATCAACACACCCGTTAAGAAACCCAGTAAATGCGGATGTTTTTAATGTTTGACAACAAAGGCTGAAGAGGGGGGGGGCTTAATAGAGAGTGGAGGCTTATTTTAAGGTTTGGTTTGATAAGGAGGGCCTTAATAGAGAGGGGGGCTTAATAGAGAGATGGGGCTTAATAGAGCTTTTACGATACCCTTGCTCCTTGGTTCATGACGCTAATGTCTTCGTCTTTACTGCTGAAAATTTTTGGATGATTTTATTGGGTTCCAAAACTCCCAGGACATCAACATCTGCTGCCATTAAACATAAGGCAACAACGCGCTACTGTGACATTGTGGACCTTAGTTCACTCTTTTTCTTTAGCCTTTTCAGCACAGTGAAACATTTTTCACCGGAGGCACCTCGGTATGGCAAATTGAGCAACAAACTAAGTGCAGTCATTGCATGGGGACAGCTCCAGCCAGAGCCGCCGAAAGTTTCGAAGGCCCTGGGGTAAAAACAAAGTATGAGGCCCCCTGAGAGCGGAGGGAGCTCAAAATTCTTTTGACCACGCCCTTTAATCCATTCTTAAAATGGAATTCATTACTTTACGAGGCCCCCTAGCTCAATTCAAACACAAGACTGAAATCAATCTTTGAAGGTTTTTCAAAATTTTGCTTGGGGTCCCTAATTCTTAGAGTTTTAGAGGGCCCAGCGGGCCCTACCCTGGGTACCAGACTCACTCTATATAAGATAAGTATTCTCTTATTTTGGAGTTCGCACTCTAGTGTATTTTGGAGTTCGCACTGAGTCTGGCTGGTACCCAGGGTAAGCGGGTCCATGGGTAAATGCGCCGCTGTGCACCGTGAAGGAACTCTCCTAGCATTCTACACGTCCGTCCATTCTGCGGTTTATGCTAATCCTTAAATTCATTACATCACTAGAAAGCGGGAAGTGCGGTTTATGTAAACTATAACTTCAGGAAGCTGAGTTTCGTAGTTTCGTTTCTTCCGTGTATGCTTTATAAATAAACTGGTCACTTGTTGCCAGAAACAGATCGGGTAGACAACCGAAAGAGATTGTGTATGAAAATCCTGTCACTTCTTTCAAAATGGAAAATTGTCACAGAGTAAGTTATCAAGCATCTTTTTGATTTTCTTTTTTCTTTAATATACTAGGCTCGTCCCAGGATATAAATTTTAGGTATTAGGACATTTATTTTGCTTACTTATTTTTTCTTATATTCCAATTTTTTTATTGATGCGGTAGTCTTTAACGTTGTTTTGTTAACTCGTCTATTTGAATTGCATCGGCGTTGTCAATTTTTATCTGGAATCCCCTTTTTCGAAATAAGTAGGCCTACTACATTGCGAAAAATGACATGTGAATGACAAATGACAAATTAAAAATGACAAAGTAGGCCTACTACACTGTGAATCGTGCCGTTTTCAAATTTAGCTTTTCCTCTACATTGCAACGAAAACCACCTTTCACATCGGTGCCGTAGGAACAAAATTCATATTGGGGGTAGGGGGGCTGCCTTGCTTGCTCCCATTCATGAAATATTTGATACAGTTTGGAAATTGGGGGGCTTCCGATGATGGCCCTACACATTTTCTCTGATAAAAAGAAATTATTCTGTCTGAGATAAATGAGCTCTAGACCTCAATGAATTTATCTCAAAATATTGTTACAATATTTGGCCAAGACCCATACTCAGCCCCCTTAAACATTTAACCTCTGGTACGCCCATAGTAGACATGAATTGATGAGAGATTGCAGTAAAAATTGCATCGTGAAAAACAATTTTTGTATATAAACTAATAATTCCTTGCAGGAGGATGAAGTTGTGTCATCATTTGCTTCTGTAGACCCTCAGTGGGATTCAGACTATTTTTCTATAATGTCTGCAAATTCAACTAAAGGGAAGTGTGCTGTGCAGATTTTAGACAAGTTTGGCAATCACATTGTTAATGCTACTGGAGATTACACTAAAAAGAATGGTAAGAAATTTTTACACCTGTCTACATCACTGTCACAAGACTTGCACAAGTAAGAAAAATACACAAATACACAAGTAAGAAAAATACACAAATAGAAGTTATTTCTGCTACTTTGATCGCTTACGTTTCAGTTTTTATTGGCAAGTATGGATAATGTACTCTCTGTTTTTTGAAATCAGGCCTTTTTTATTGATGAGTCAGGTGGTTTCCAAAAGAAAAAAGCCAGCAAAAACACTCATTATATCAAATACTGCAAGTGGGGTAAAACATACAACCCTATATTTTGATGAATAAGTAACCACAAGCGATCAAGCCATGTAAGGAATGAAATCAGAGGGAATTGTCATTCAACAAATAAAGGCCTATAAATGAAAACATTATGAAGTTGCTAATGAAACTTTTGACTTTCTGAATTTTTTATTTCTCAACTTCTTACTTTTTGTAGCATTTTTTCTCTTTTGATGTGGTCTGAGTCTATTTTTCATTGAATGAAAACTGAGCATTATTTAATTTACAGATTTGATATTCTGCTAGTGTTTGTTTTCAGTGAATTTGACCTCTTGGCAACTGATTAGTGACTAAATGTTTTGCTTTTTACAGCAATCTTTAGAGTTTACCAAGGGGTAGACAATATTGGTAGAATTGTTGTTATGTTTGAGTGCCTCAGTGAACAACCCCATGGCTGGATGTTAGCAGTGGATGATAATGGAAAATTGACTACCCGTGTAAGATATCTTACTTTTTCTATATTCGCTTTTATACTAGTTTCTATCGTTTTTGCATTTGTTTTTGTTGGTCCACCATCCACAGACCTGTATAGACAGAAGATTGTTTAACTGAACTACTTCTCCGGTAAATATGACATCACTTAACCTGTGCAGACTAAACCTGTAGCTTTGTTTTGAGAAAGGAAATTTGGAAAGAAACCTGAAGAATTTTAGAAAACACCAGGAGCATTTTCTAAAATGTGTGAGATTTTACTTTTCTGCTTGTTTGTGAGGGGGAAAATCAGAATGTTTATGTGTCACACAAAATCTCTGTCTCATTCAGAGTTTGTGAGACTACATCCATAAAGTCTGCATCCAAGAGTCATTTATTTTGTAGGATTTTTACCCTTTGAAGGATCAAGGGAAGAAATAAAGTCTTGAAGTTTGGAAAATTTTTGGACTTATTTTTGAATAGTATGAATTTTGATATGGGTTTGAAAAGGATACTGGAAGCAAATCAAGGGCCAATCTTTATTCTGATGTCTTATTACTCTGAGAAGTATCAGGCGAAAATAAATTATTGAAATTAATGATATAAGGAAATGCTCCTCAAACTGAGTAAAAATAAGCTAAGGATGGGACGAGGCTGTAATGAGTGTGATGGGAGATTCAGAAGAGACAAGTTATGGATCTTAAAAAGGTTTTCTTTGCTCAGTGTTGGACTAAGTGCTGGACTGAAATGAACTGCTGCCATAAAGCTTCAAGACCCCCCTTGAATATTAAAGTTATATATATCATATCCATACCCCAAAATTGTAAAACTGTTTCATGCTCTTCATTATAGCTTGAATTCATTTGTCTCATTTTGACTAAATTCTACCAAATAAAGAATTATACCTTGGCATGAAGAATTTTGTGCCTGTTTGTTTTCTGCCCACCCGCTTTGTTAGCATAAGGTGTTGAAGTATATTTGATTACAATAAGGAAAGTGTTTTTTTCTCATTTTCAGAAGCGAAAGGTGGAGTACAAGAACTTCAGTCAAGGTGAACCAGATGTTGTTTTCATTTATCACAGAGTTGATTATAAACATGGGAATGTAATGTTTTACTCTGAAAAGGCAAAAGGCTTTGTCGGTTTTGATACAAATGGTGATCCAATGAGTTTAAAGGAAGTACCCAAGTATAGCAAAGCTGCAGATTTGTATTTGGAACAAAGTAAATTACCAAGTAGTTGATTTTGCTTAAACTTTGATTACAGTGATATTGAGGAGTCCTAAAAACTGGAATAAGATTTTATTCTTTGCTTAAGATAAATATAATTGAGTAGACTTACAAACACTCAAGTAGCAAAAGGAATTGAAAACCAAGAATGTGGCTTGCTTCTTCAGTTGCTGTCAGGGTTTACTTGATCAAATGGCTCATTTATTCTATGAGTGTGCCTGTATATAGCCAATAAATTTTAGATTTTTTTCTGCCTTTATTAGGTATTTGTTTACTTTTGATATATTTATTTCATTTATTAATGTAGCTGTTAGTCCCAAGCTTATCGAGCAAAGCTTTTGAGATCTTACACTTCAAGATAATTGAGACAGTACTTGTTGAATCTAAATCTAATTGTTCCTTCAAAGTCTGACCTCATATAGTTTTGTCAAATATTTTACTGAACTTTTTCAAATTATAATTTTCTAGTCTGAAATAATTTTCTAGTTGTATAATCATTTTTTGGAAAATATGGAAATCCTGACCCATCTCAAATTGGCCCTGATATAGAATACATACTTCAACAAAGTCCTCTATATACTGCTCTAAGGACAGGGTTTAACACTTGGGGAGGGGGTGCACCATGGGTATGTATACCCAAGATTTAGAATGCCCCTTGTCTAAGAGGTGACCTTATTAGAACTGTCAGAAATGTACCCCTTTTTGGGACGAAAATTCACTTGAATGACCTTAGAAAGATTGCACAATAAAAGTATTGTAATTGGATAATAAAGATACCAATTATAAAGATTTTTTTTGTTCAAATCAGAATAGAATTCAATTCAGAACAATTTTTATTTTTCAAGAATTTAGATTGTTGTATTTTTTTAATATGAACTTTGCTTATCAAGAGATTATCTGTGAAGATTTTTTATTCAAAGTAGGTAATTTTCGTATTATCTTGGTTTTCTTTCAAAATTATTCTACAGAATTGCCCACTTTTTTGATGGAATACTATGGCTGGATTAGCGTAAGAAAGAGGCCAATATCAATTCAGTCAATTCACAAGGAAAGTTTAGATAACAAGAGTACCTTGTACAATTAAAATCCTGCCTCAGCAAACAAAAAAATCAACTGATTCAACCTTTTGACGCTTGCCCGAAAGCACCCCCAAACGAAGCCAGCTCTAATCATCGCTAATTAGGTCTAAGAACTGTCACCTGTTTCTATCCAATGAAAACATCACTACCCCATTAAATTGAAATATTATTCAAAACCTATTCAAGCCCCAGAATCATGCCCTGGGCACTCACAGCCCAAACCATTTTTTATCATTGTTTAAAAAGGCCTCCTTTTTTCTGCCGCAAACCAACAAAAAACTACTTTTTATTCTAACACTCCAAAACAGTCGCTTGCACAGCCCCAACCCTCACTAATCAACGCTAACTAGGTTTAAACATCACCACCTGCCTCAAACTACCCCACCCTCATACCAGTCTCAAATGGTGCCCTGCCAGCCGTAATGGAAGAAACCTGTAACTTGAACAAAGTGCAGAGGCGTAGGAAGCATTTGGAAAGTGGAGGGGGGCAAAGGAATTTAAGGGTGCTTTAACCATACCATTCATTCTAAGGGCCACACCCCAGATACAAAAATTTTCTGGAATAAGGAAAGTGAGATATAGAACTGAGCAGATGTAGAATATTAAAGGCATAACTTAAATAAAGTTATTTTCAAAAATTTACAAAAACTCAAAATATTATACATTTCAGATTAGCTCAAAATACGTTTCAAAATTTTTTTTGCCGTCATTTTTTTGGAATCGTTTGAAACGTTTTACTATTTTTTAAGCAAACTTTTGTCCCGTTTGAAAAATTCCATTCTTTATTTAAAAGGAGACGTTTTTAGAATCTTGAGGGCACTTTTTAAAATTCCGGGTGCACTTTTTCAACATTTATAAAATGTTGGGGGCAGGTCCCCCCCGGCTACTGCATCTCTGATAAAGTGCCCCGTGGAACTCCAAAAATGCTAAAACGTAATCAAGTAGCTCCCTACTTTTTTATTAATGCTTCAGTCAGATTTCGCTGGTCAATGATTCTCAAACCAACTCGATATTACAGTTATTCCTTATTAAATAAAACCTGGAGCTCCAAGCAGCTCCAGTCCATCTCAACAAGCTTCAACTATCTTTAGTTATGCTCTTTAACCGTAATTAAAAAACCCTTTATTTTACAAATAGAGATGACGAAGTTACTTCCAATAACAGGCAGATTTCATTGCTGCCAATCTTCAGTAAACTCTATGGAAAATCAAGGTACAAGAGATTATATTCTTTTGTTACATGTAATACAGTGTATTATCATTTACAATTTAGCTTTCAAGAAAATCATTCCATTGATCATGCATTTATTAGTATGAACGGGGCTATAAGAAAGACCTGTAGATAAAAAAATCCGGCTATGCCTATGCCTGTGGAATGTCTATTGATCTAAAAAAGCCTTCAACTCTTTAAAGCGTGATATTCTACGCTAAACCTGAGCACTGTGAAATTAATGCACGCAAACGGTTCAAACTGTACCTCACAAATAAGACGACTCTTAAGCATTTGTTGCAAATTAATTGTGGTGTTCCTCAGGGATCAGTACTAGGACCAAAGATCTTTCTTCTGTTTATTAATGATTTACCGACTGTTTCGAAAGATTTAAATTTTGTCTGTTTGCTGTCGAAACAAATATTTACTTCGAGTTTGAAACCCCTGAAAAGCTTTCCAACAAAGTTAATAAAGAGCTCAAGCATGTAAAGCGCTGGCTCTATGCAAATAAACTTTCTCTTAATACAAATAAAGCTAATATAATTTTCCATTCAACTGCCGTTACTATCCCATCTGATATTTGAAACAAATAGGCGATAAACCTAGATGAACATCTTACCTGGAAGCATCATCTCACTCAAGTTTCTAATAAATCTAGCACGAACAAGTTGAAGTATCTTCAAAACTAGACATCTAATTTCAAAAGTGCCCAGATTACCATGCATGATCTTTTTTCTTCATACAAAACAGAATCATTGCCTGGGGAAAAGTTTTTGACTACATTGAACCACTATTGAAATTGCAGAAAAGTGCCATAAGAGCAGCGACGGTTTTAAGGACTGCGGGGCCCTTGTTCTTTACAAGTTTTACATTTTTAGGTGCAAGGCCCCTTCTGGCTACCATAAGCGTTGGGCCTTGGGCTATTGCCCCCCTGCGCCCCCTGAAACCGCCACGGTATAAGAATGACGTCACACAAACCTTACTTAGCTCACTCTCGTCATATCTTCAAAAAACTTAAATTACTAAGTCTTGCCGATGTTTTTGATATGACGATATCAACTGCTGTTTATAAATCTACTAAAATCTACTAAAATGCTAACACCTGCTTGTTTCCTTTATTGCGTCTTCCAAAGTTCATCTATGCACCAACAGAGACAATCCACTAAGGGTGATCTTTATTTGCCAGAGACTCTTCAATATGGTTTAAGATCAAGACATAGAACAAACGAGTTGTTGGAACTTCAGCGAAACTACAGAGTATTCTGCAGATCGATCACTTTTTCACGAGGGGCTTTTGACCTTTAACTAATTCACCTGAGTTTGTTTTTGTTTGCTATCAGCTATGGTCTCTTGTGCCACGCTTCTTACGTTTTTCTTTTACCCGCTCTAAGTTTGTAAAGCTAGGGTAAGGTGCGTGGTTCGTAGCGTTTCCATTCATTTGTTAACCTAAGAGTATTCAAAGTTTTGGCTTAGAGTGGGTCTGACTCTGCTTGGTAAAGCCTCAATGCAAGAGTGCTATTTATGTTAGTTTCTTCATGTAAATTAGCTAATTAGCTACTGTTCCTGAACTGAATAAGGGATTCGAGTATGGCTTTTTCAGCCTCGTTTTTATGAAGAGTTATACAAAGACAAAAGCTATTTGAAGCACGTTTCATTTTTTTAGGCATTTACATGATGGTTTGTTTAAGAAACTTTACGTTTTAGTTGGTAATGGGGTTGAACTTAACGTCTCAATGGCTTTGATGACGATTGACTGACAAATAGAAATGAACGTAACCACCAACGAAACACTATAGCCTTTCCCTTATTATCATGTTTACAATCATGATGCGTATTTAATTTCTCTACTGTCCACTAGTCAAGAAATCTAAATAAATAGTTTACAATATCGCGGGGCTGCAGGTGATCATCCTACACATTTGTTAATCGTTGGTCTTTACCTTTGTTCACTGAGCACAGGCACCTGTTGCTGCCTGCTAATGAAACGTGTCCTGCGAATCTGTAATCCGCAGCTTCATAAATCGACTAGAATATTGATTTTAATACGCAGTATTAATGCTAGCCGCCTTTCAATCCTACGTTTAGAGTAGTATCAATTATAAAGTTGAACCAACGCGCTGTTGGAAAAGATTATGGGGTGCCTTGGTTTAGTCACTGGATTGCTTCTAGCATCTGTCCTGTCGACAACAAACGCTCGCCATGTTCAGTTCTTCTTAAATGGATGGGAATGCTTCTTTGAAGATATTACAGTTGGACAAACGGCATCCATAGAATTTGCTCCTATCACTGGATCTAAGCCACACGTCGACGTTACTTTGGAAGACCCAACAGGGCGAGTTATATATCGAGTTTATCAGAAAGAGTATGAATACTTCAAATTTCCAGTTAACGTGACAGGCACCTATAAAATCTGCTTTAGCAACATTTATGATTTCTCAATGTACAACAATCTGATCTATTTGGATTTTGTCGTTGGCGATGAAAATGCTTTGCATACTGGCACCGATAAAAAAGGACAAACAGGCCCTATGACACAGCTAGAAACATCAATTGTTAATATCCATGATTCCATGCGCGTTGCTGAACTGTATCAGAACCACCACAGAATCCGTGAAGCTAATGGAAGACTTGTGGCAGAAGGTCTTTATGAAAAGGTGGTCTGGTGGAGCCTTGGACAGACCATGATTATTGTGCTTATAGGAATCGGACAGGTTTTGCTCCTAAGAAGCTTTTTTGCAGTAAAAAAAGAACAGATATAACTTTTTATTTGTGTTGAGCCACAGCGGCTTTTTATATAAGCTCGAGTGTAACGTTGAATTGATATTTTTTAGATCATGACCTTTGGTTTTGTTTCTCTTGAATACTAAGAGATATGCAAAACAGATCAACGAAGCACGTGACCAAAGAAAGGAAAACGAAAGGCTACTAAACCAACTGTCCTCCAACCCTATTTTGATTGACCAGTCAACCAGTCATTTTGGTCAATTTATGGTAAAAAATAGCCCATGCAGGCAGAGAAAAGTCTATTTGCACCAATTAAATTTTCTTAATAATCAAAATTGAGCCTTCAATAGCTACATGCCATGAAAAAGAAAAACATGAAATGTCAGTTTTGTTAAAATGCAGCAGCATTTATTAAAGAGAACATCTTGTTCTTTGATTGGCGTACGTTATGAGTTGCGTTTATATGTTATTGGACAGCCAACTAACCTCATAAATTTTGTGGAATAGCAGCTAAATAACCTTTCTCTATACTTCTCCCCAATGGCTGTTTATTGAAGAATGGTAACAGTGCTTCCACAAGTCAGAACAAGATTTCCTTAAACGAAGTGCTAAACTTCAATAGTTTCCTAGATTTTTTAAACTTTTCATCACATTTACTAAAAAATTGGTCAGGGTTGAGAAACATTTTTAGTAGGGTAAGCATTTAAAAGCTGCGATTTGTGTCATTTAACTTTATTCCGTATCTGGTTGTGTATCAAAGGCCACTGTATCTCTTGTTTTTTAAACTGCACACTTTTCAATGTCTCGTGACAATGTAAACGAGCTTACTGACTTGCTTTGGGAACATTTTTGTGACATTGTTTGATAGCAGATTTGCCAAACTTGTGAGCATTACAGTTTAGAAGTCGAGTGTAGCTGTTGCATTGAGCAAAACTAAAAAGAACGACAAAAGCAGGTACTAGAATAACCATTTTCCCAAAAGCTTTGTGCCAATTGCGATTTATTAGCACTTATGAATCTATTTCTGCTCTTGATTAACCTGAGTGCCATTATAGTAGATTGCTGTAAAATATTGCATAGATTGATGCTTATTGGATTATTGATTCAACAAAGATTGGATTATTGATTCAACTTTACGAATCAATTACTGAATCGAAAGGGAATTGTGCGGCAAAGTTGCTGAATCACAGATAAGCGTAGGCAAAAAGATTGTTTCTGCTTTGATGAGGAGCATAGTAGTATGAGACACGTAGGACTGGAGGACTGCAGCCCCCAGAATCAGGCAAAACTTATTATAATTCACCTCTGGCAATTCTACCTTAATGAAGCAATAATATTCGGGCACGATCGACAACCCCCCCCCCAGCCGTTTAGCATCTGTTACGCCCATTATAAGGAAATTGGAGTCCCATCTCTGCTTTATGTAAGATATGGTGCTCAGTTGCCAACCAGAGCTTTGCCTTCTTTATTGATGCCAAAGCTGGCAAATCCATACTTTGCTATTCTTTTTCGCAGCAATTTGTGCAAGAGCCTCTCCTTCTTATTTTGATAGCACCACACCAGTGAAATTATGCTATCAACAACTATCAACCCAATGGTTTTTGTGAATTGTTATGCTTTTTCTAGAAAGAGAAAATGTTAAGAATTCCTCAGTTCCTCAAGCAGCAAGATTTTTTCTCCTCATCTCCTCAAGGCTCCTCACCTCCCTTTATAGACAGGGAATTTTGTAGAAAAAACTAGCAAACTGCCTAACCTCAAATTTTATTTCATATTCTTACTAAATCGACCATGGAGATTCCAAATCCAAGATGGGCCAAAAGAAAATTATCACCGGAAGTTGCTATTTTTGATGACGTCATCAAAAAAATGATAAAAAATCTTTAAAAATCGGCCAAGGACTCGAACTCAACTTTTTTTGCATTCTCGCACTAAATTAACTATGCAGATTTTAAATCTGAGATGAAATGAAAAATATCTTGAACGGAAGTCAAATTTTGTGATGACGTCATCAACTTGGAGAAAATTCACTTTGAACCTTTTTAATTGTTTTCTCGCAACTATCATTGTCAAATATGTTCCATATTCGAAGTGCACACATTCAGTGCTTTTAAAAGATGTATTGAATTTCTATTATACTTACTTTCAAACGTTCTTTCATGACGTCATCATCATTTTATGACGTCATCGCCTTTTAAAGGTAATTGAATAACGCGTGAAAGGATGCCTAAAAATATTTAGCTAGTTAAAAAAGTCATTGAAAATTGAAATTTCGTTGTATAGAAAATGATATGGATCCATTCATCCTTCATCACTGTCTCTTTTGCTGGAACTCCAGAAGAAAATGTAGTTCCACTCATCATCGTCTGCTTTAAGCTGATCACCTCACCATAATTTTTTCCATGGCCTAGTCCTCATTCGTTACGGAATTTTCTTCGATTTCATCACTAGAGCGCTGCAAACCTTGCAGTTTTTTAGCGGAGGGTGTGCGGGGCCCTGCACAAGATGAACATAATTTGTGTGAAAAACATTTTGGATTATTTTGCTGACTCCAGTATTTTCTGCAGATATTCACAGCTTTTTTAACGTTGAAGATCGGATATTTTGTCTTCAAGCCGTTAAGAAACGTTTTTCTCTGTATATCCTCTTCGTGCCATTTCCTATTTATTTATCAAATGTATGTTCAAAATTAGAATATGTAAAGAAATTTTTTTCCTATAAACCACACTAATACCACCTGTAGGCCAGATCATTCTTTCCATCGTATGTCTAACCAAAGCTTAAAGGCAATTTCTCTTACGATCTTCTTTTGATAATGTAACCAATAGTAAATGCTTGTGTCAACCAGTATGGATCTGGTTGTAGAGCTTCTGATTATCTGTTTTTCATTGCCTTGCGAATTCTTACTCTTATCTGCACAAGTGTTTCATCACATTTCCCTTTGTATGATTATTTTTGCACAAATTTTATCGCTTTCGTGAGAATGTCTTTGCAGATTTCCTGTCTCATCGTAACTCTCTCGAGCCATTTTCCCTTTCCAGAACACTCCTAAAGCTTTTTAAAATGTTAGCTTTCTTTACAACACTATTACCGGTGTTGTTTCGCAGCCAATAACTGCATGAACAGCCGGTAGATTTTTGGAACTATCTAAACCCAGGTAAGATACGACGTTCCAAAATTAACGTACTTCTCGTTGTCAATCTTTAAGGAATATTTCCTTGAAGGCTTTTCACACAATAAGCAGAAAACTACATTAGTGTCCTTTCGACAACTAATAAATATTTTAGATGAGGAAAGAATGGAATATCAAGTGGATGTCAGCCTCTTCATAGCTGCAATTAAGCAAGTATGTCGTGGAATCTTTGATTATCTTTAAGGTTTGTTCTTTATTGGTAAACACGAGTGCTTTCAAAATTAACTGCCTTCCTTCTTAGCCCTGGTAGAGCCTTGAACTAGCTTTAGAAAGTAAGTTTGATACAACAAGAACCAGACCAGATCATACAAAATGTTCTTGACAAGTATATGTATATCAATGTATATTCCATTTCAAGGTTTTTGTTGCTGTTAGTGATGCTTGGCAGTCTTCTGCATTACAAAGATCAAGATAATCCAAAGGCTTTACCTACCTTAAAGAACAAACCTTAAAGATAATCAAAGATTCCACGACATACTTGCTTAATTGCAGCTATGAAGAGGCTGACATCCACTTGATATTCCATTCTTTCCTCATCTAAAATATTTATTAGTTGTCGAAAGGACACTAATGTAGTTTTCTGCTTATTGTGTGAAAAGCCTTCAAGGAAATATTCCTTAAAGATTGACAACGGGAGAAAGTACGTTAATTGGAACGTCGATCTTACCCTGGGTTTAGGATCCAGTTCCCAAAAATCCTACCCCGGCTGTTCATCAGTTTGATTGGCCTGCGGAAAACAACACCCGTAATTAGTGTTTGTAAGAAGCTAATTTAAAAGGGCTTTAAGGAGTGTTCCTGGGGAAGGGGAAATGGGCCCCTCGAGAGAGGGTTACGAATGAACGGAATCTGACCAAAGGACCCATTCTCAGAAGGGGCCGGGATAAAATTTGGGGGAATAATAATCATACCAAAGGGTGTGATGGAAAACCACCTTGTGGCCAGATAAAGTAAAAATTCGCAAGGAATGAAAAACCAGGGGATAACCCATCAGAAGCCTCTACCAACCCCAGGTCCCAATACTGTTGAAACCAAGGCATTTACCTAATTGGTTACATTATTCAAAAGAAGATCGTAAGAGAAATTGCCCTTTAAGGGGCTTTGGTTAGACCCATACGAAGGGAAAGAATGATCCTGGCTACAGGTGGGTATTGTGGTGGTTTATAGGGGGCAAAAAAATTTCTTTAATATTTCTAATTTTGGAACCATCATTTTGATAAATAATAAGGGGACACTGGACGGAAGAGGGATATCAGAGACAAACTCTTCTACCCGGTTGGACGACCCAAAATATCCCGGATTTCCAACCCGTTAAAAAAGGGCTGTGAATATTGCCAGAAATACTGGGGGATCAGGGCCAAAATAATCCAAAATGTTTTTCCAACCACAAATTACTGTTCATCTTGGGTGCCAGGGGCCGGCACCCCCGCTAAAAAAACCCTGCAGATGGGTTTGTGTGCAGGCGCTCTAGTGATGAATCGGAAGGAAAATTCCGTAACGGGGATTTGAGGGGACAAGGCCATGGAAAAAAATATGGTGAGAGTGAAATCAGCTTAAAGGAGGACCGGAATGATGAGTGGAACCCCTACCATTTTCTCTGGAGTTACCGCCAAAGAAATAGTGGGATGAAGGGAATGAATGGATCCATATCATTTTCTATACACCGATTTCCAATTTTCCCCAATAACTTTTTAACTAGCTAAATATTTTTAGGCATCCTTTCACGCGTTATTCAAATTAACCTTTAAAGGCATGACGTCATAAAGAGAGATGATGACGTCATGAAAGAACGTTTGGAAATAAGTATACATAGAATCATACATCTTTTAAAAAGCACTTGTGTGCCTTCGATAATGGAACATATTGACAATGATAGTTGCGAGAAAAATTAAAAGGTTCAGTGAAATTTTCTCCAAAGTTGATGACG